AAAAACAACCCCCAAAGCAATTGCAAATTGTGTTTTTGGAGCAAAATACTTCACATTTTGTGCGTATTTCTAGTATTATGTGCTAAAGACCGACTCGGTTTTGAGACAAAAGGAGGAAATTCATCCAGAAAGTTAACATTTGTTCTCATCTTTAAAAACGTCGCAGCAACTTTTAAATGAGCTTTAATGTTGTTTTTCTTCAGCAGTGGAGTCTTCTGCTGTGAATTTATATCATAGGCTGATGTTCATTTCTTATTGGTTTCTTTAAAGGTATTATATTTGCTATTCTAATTGATCTTTGGTTCTGGAAAAGCTGGAGATCCCATACAGATTATCAATTAGAATAAAACGAATTATATTTATCATTACTGACAGGCAAATTTCAGCTTTTTGCACTCATCTCTTCTTCTTGGTGTAATCTCATGTTATCAATAAATTTATGGACTAATTTAGTTTTACTGATATTTGGTGTGAATTTTCATACTAACAGCTGCATCAAAACTATATTTTCTAAAAATGAATGTCTGTACTATCAAAGAAAACAAAAAAATAAAAAGAGCAATGAGCTTCAAAGCTCCTCTTTTTGTCCTTATTTTAAAATTAACATTCCAAACATACTTGCGCGCAGTTTTATTCACATCTGCACATAAACGCATCGCCACACATGTAAATCTAAACAAACAGGCGCACAGACTCCACAGCTATGACAGTACATCTTGTTTAATGCTCTTATTTTCCCTGAGAAATTTATGCAGAACATTTGCAGCGTCGTCAAAGATCAGAAACACATGGCGGTCGACGTTAAAACCGTTTAAGATGTCCATCTCGCTCGTCTCTTTCAGATTATGTTTATACATCTTAACAGGAAACATCTTCAACATGACTAATTCAGCACAGATTTCTGATGCGTTATGAAATTTAGATGTAATCTGAAGCAAATGGCTGCAGGACCGGACCGCGCGCCGCGCTCAGTGAAGACATCTCTGTTCTAATTATCACATTTATTTCAGATTGGTTCTCTGTGTGGCTGATAAAGAAAGTTCACCTGGCCTCAATTAACTATATTTATCTGAGATTATCCCTCCATGAGATTTGAGCTTTGGTAAAGAGGAAAAAAAAAGATTAGCATTATTAGGAGTCGCATGTGCAGGATGAATACATTTCCAGACAAAGTGACAGCTCATAAGGAGGAGAAATTAAATCAGCGAAGGTGGAGAAAAAAGGAAAGTAGCATGTGTCTTAAGCCTTATTAGCTGCTCACATTTCTGCTTTCAAATCACTTTTTCCTTTCACCAACAAGGTGTTTTCATTTGAAAATTAAATCTGATAATAATCCACTATTAAATGTGGCCACCAAATAAAAGGGAGCCTCAAGATCAAAGATACACTGTAAAAACACAAAATCTTACCAAGTGTCTTTGTCTGGACTCCAGAGCAAATGTCTTTTAGTTCCTTTGAAATACGGCAAAACTAACTCACAAGTAACTTTTCAGAGGAGAATGTTTTAAGTTAATAATTCCTTCATATTGATGAAAAAGTGGCAGATTATTTCACTTATGACATGGGAAAAATGTTTTAAGTTAAATAATCTGCCAAATATTTCACTTATAAATAAGCAAAATAATATTTTTTTGTTAATATTAAGAAATTATTGACTTGACACACACTCCTAGTTTTGTCTAATTTCCAGTGCACTAAGGTATTTTCATTAGAAACTACAAAGAAATACGTTTTTGCAGTAGATAGTGTTTCTGTGTATTATCTGTTCATAAATAAACATAAAATAGTTTATTTTACTTCTGTTTTCATAGAAATAAAGGTTGATGAAGCAGTAAATTTTATTTCTAATGTTTGGGAAAAGAGCAGTTCTTACCTGATTGCTTCTTGATTTAGAAAAATAAACATTAAACTCATTAAAGCACAAAAAAACAGATAAATGTAAGAATATAACAAAAGAAAGATGGGAAACGCAAAGGAAATTTAGATTTTACTTTTGGTTTTGCTTCATTAAAAGTAAATATGACCCATTTCTTATTCAGTCTTGTTGATTCGTGGCTTAGAAAATGTTCTTATATAAATAACTGAGTCAAGCAATCAAGCAGTTTAGGAACCTCAAGTCAGAACCAGAGTTTTTATAAAGAAAAAGAGGAAGAGAGAAAACTATCCAGTTTGTGCAGAAAGCATCGAGAAAACTAAACCAACTTTCAACAAATGATCCAAATTAAAACTGTAATAAGTTTCTATATTTATTCTAACTTTAGAAAAACAGAAGATCTTAATTTTCTTCAGAGTAAAAATAAAAATTATGACAAATAATAAATTTATTTATCAAAGTTTATGCAAGAAACCATCAATTAAGTTATGACACAAATATTTTTACTATGCTACATTTTTACTTTCACAACGTCAGCCATTTTATTATGAAGCTTCATTATTATGACATTATTATGAAGCTTCACTACTTTTCAGTAAAATGTCTGGATTTTCGACCCACTGGATGAAAAACAAACATTAAACCAAAAATTCTCCAAACTCACACCTGAAGTTTTTTTTAAAGCTTCATAAGTTTTTTTTATTGAAAGAAACTAATTTGGAAAAAATGTAATTTTGTATTTATATGAGTTATTCTCATGCCCACATTCTCCTAGAGTCTAATTTTTAAATATTAAATTATGTTTTGATCAGTTGGTACTTTTTTCAGTATGTTGTAGTTTAATGTATTTTAAGTTGTAGTTTTTAAGTTTGGTTTGATGTAGACATGTTTAACTGGAGAAAATGTGTTTCATCCTCTGTCATGCTGTGTTTTATTGTCCTGTCTGCAGGTGGGACCTGGATGTGTCCTGCTGTGAGGCACAGCACCTGGGATTTGAACCCGTGACCTCACTGTGAGTGCTGCTGATGAAGCCTCGCGGTCACCTGCAGGATCAGCGCCGACAGACAGACCCACAAGTCTTCATTTCCTGTTTTGCCTTAAACCAACTATTTCCAATCTTTGGGGAAGAAATGCTACCTGTTTTCAGGTAATATGATAAACAAACACGGAGGTCAGGAAAAGGTCAGACTCAGGTATCCAGATTTAAAGCGACATCACTCCCATTTCATCAGCTGTTTTTCTGTTTTCTTGTGGATTCCCTCACAGTGTGTCAAACTTGAGGCCCGCGGGCCAAATCTGGACCGCCGTAGGTTTTTATGTGGCCCTCTAGACTCCGAATTACATCAACAAATCTCTCCAGTTTCTCACAAATCTGCAAAATTCACTCAAAATCAACAAATCTCCACATTTTGTTTTGCCAATTTTTCTCCAAATTGGTCAAAAAGGTTGAGTTCGAGTCACTGCTGCCTCAGTTTTACTGAACGTCAAGTAACAACAAGTCACATTTAACGTCAAACATTAGTGCAACATTCCTCACAAATGTCTAAACTGATTAGAAACTTTCATCAACGCATTCTGGCCCTTTAAGAACGTTCAGATTTTTGATATGGGCCAAAATGAAAGTGAGTTTGACTCACTGACGGCTCCTCAGACTCGTCGCAGGTTGAGGAGAACAGGTGTTTGCCGCTCCAGGCAGACCTGCACAGACTTCCTCACACATCAGTCTTCTGCCAAATGGCTCCGAGTGGAGGCTTCGCCCTGCCCATCCCTCATCGTCCAGCGTGACCTCGCTCTCCTCCGCGCTGCAGGCAGGGCTGCAGATAAAGACCAGGAGGGAAAAAAAGCTGAAAAACGGCTCTTGGAATCCTAAATATTAGCGGTTGTAAATCAGCCCCCAGTGGCCTATGAATAGCAATTATCTTTTTCACACTAATAAATCCGCCTCTTTTCAGATAAGATGGTTTCCTTCCCTAACCTGCAGTTAAAAACAGCGCTGGGTATTGAGCAAGCAGAAGATGGGAGGAGTGCAGCAAATAAATGAGAGCTATTCAGCTGTGGATTACACTGCGGGGAAAAAACAGTCTTTTGTGCTGAGGCTGAACAATATATCACATCTGACCTGAGAGGGGAAACTGTGTACGATCACAGGACTCGAGGAATTCAGATGATATCAGGAAGCAAACTCTTATCGGCTTTTATCAATACCTGCTAAACACGATTCAGTTCAGCGCACGGCGACTTGATTTCCTGAAAGCGTCTCTGAACAGAGGCCTGCGAGGCAGCAGAGGGAACGATAGCGAGGATACACCAATCTGATGCTGACATTCTCTGATTCTTATCAGCAGACGAGGTTCAGCCATTAGAGTCTGTCGGCTGCTTAAAGGGAAAGCTCGGATGTTTACAAGCCGGGTTAAAGGGGCGGTGTCATGGAAAAACTGAGCTTCACATCATGTCGTAATGTCATTCCCACATTGGAAACATGCCTGTTGTGTTGCTCTGATTCTTTCGTGCATCAGTCTTTAATCTCCATGGACTTAGCCCCGCCCTCGAGACGAAGCTCCTCCTCCTCAGCAGGGTCAGAACAGTTTTGGCTTTTTCTTTATAGTTTAGCTTTATTTTTTTGTGAATTTTGTTTGTATAATTCAGTTAGTTTGTATTAGTTTTTAATGTTTGCTGGTTATTATTAAATATTGTTTAGTTTTAGTTTAGTTATAGTAGCTTTAGTTTAGTTTCATACTTTTGGTTAATCTTTAAGAGAAGAATTAAAAAAGACAAAGATTTGTAAATATGTACACATCAATAAGGTATTAATACTATAAATTATAGATAAGTATATCTATAATTTCAGTATGTTTAGTTTCATAAACATTATAGTTCCAGTTCGTTGTGGTATTAATTACTGTTTTTCTTTATTTAACTAAATGAAAATGTTTTCAGTTGTTTAGTTTGAAAATGTTGCTGCAGTGATTAATCCCCTCAGCTCCTTCAGACTAGCCAGCAGCAATTAGCAAACATGGTAGCTCATTATCAGAGCTACTTCTCAGAGTTTTTTTTTTTATCTCTGGAAAAAGTTTTATTTTTTGAAATCATAAAAATTATAACAGCACAAATGAATATTTTTGCCACACACCAATTTTGTGTAACTGGAAAAAGGTCACTCTGCTTGTGCCCCTTCCAGTTCCCCTCGCTATCCTCTGCAGGGCCAGTCATGATGTGGCTGGAGTGCCACGCTAACATGCAGCCGCCGCCAGGGAGTCACTTCCTGTGGACCTCTGCGCTCCGGCGGGATTTAAACGACTTAATGGTCATCATCTAGTTGGGAGAAAAACACAGCAATCAGCAGCTTTTCTCCGCCTTTGAGGCGACTGAAATCCTATTCCAAAGACTCGAGTTAACCTCATTAAGCTCGCTCACACACAAGATACATAATTATCCCTGAGAGGATAGCAAGTGCTAATACAAATTAGAAAGATAATTAAGCTACTGAGACTGGCCATTGCATCTCCCAGAGCTTTAGACCTACACAGCCATTATAGTAAATTAGAGCCATTGTTTACAGTCAGAAGCAGAGCCTTTTACCAGTGGCCATGTTTGTCAGACCTGCTGGATAATAACCGCTGGTCTCCACATAGTAGCTTCTGATATTTATCAAAGTTTATAAGCAAAATTTCTTATCAGGTTTCATTCCAGCTCAGGGAGAAAAATCCAGAAAGAAACTCATCGGTTTGAGAATGTTCACTGCAAAAATACAAAATATTACTAAGTATTTTCATCTAGTTTCAAGTTCGAATATATTAGTTTACTTGAAATAAGACAAAACTAACTTACAAGTATTTGAACAAAATATCGGAGCTTGTTTTAAAGGGGCAACATTACGTAAAATCAACTTTTCTGAACTTTACATCAATCACAAAAACAAACCAGGAATGTTGCTTTGATTTTTCTTAATGCATGTTTGAGAAATCCTTTAATCTCCAAGGCAAGCGTTCAGCTGCAAAACGCCTGATTGGACCAAGCTCCGCCTTCGAGACGCTGATCCTCCCTGACTTCACTCCTTCAGACTAGCCAGCAGCAATTAGCAATGAGCTCATTCTAGGAGCCACTTCTCAGTGAAACGCTGGCAAAAGCATTAAAGGGTTAATAAAAAGCCAAGTTATGATCACTTCCTGAAGGTGGAGTCTTAAAGAGACAGAGGCACAATTTCAAAGCATTAAATTACTAAGTCAAATTTGTTTTCAGTCATATTTGATTTGACATTTATTAACAACTGACGGTAACACAGTTACTTGTTTATTCTATAAAACGGCAAGATGTGCCTGGAAAACACATAAAACTACATTAATGCTGATAAAAACCACTGGCAGATGTACTAGTAACATAGTAATTAGAAATATAGGAATAATTGATCTAAAACAAGCTGAGAAATCTTGCTGAAAGTAGAGTACTTCAAAATTGTATTCAAGTAAGACAAGCACTACTTCAATATATCTTTACTCAAGGAAGAGTAAAAACGTATTTGGTAAAAAAAAAAAAAGTATTGAGTGATCAAATTATCAATCATTTAATATTTAACAGTTACATCATCAGATGAACCAAAATATAGAGTTATGTGGACATTTTAGTGTTTCAAGGACCAAAATGACAATAATTCATGTAAGTAGTAAAATCACTAAATCAGGCAAAAATAAAATTTTTCCAAATCCGTTTCTTTCAATAAAAAAATTATGTGACTTTAATTAAAAGGTGTGTCTGTGTTCAGTGAATCTTTGGTTGAAACACGTTTGTTTTTCATTCAGTGGGCAGAAAAATCCGGATATTTTACTCAAATAGGAGTAAAAATACTGAATCATAAAATTACTCAAGTCAAAGTAAAAAGTGCAGGAAAGCAAAGATGCATTTGATCAAAAAGTAACTCCAGTAAATGTAATTGAGTAAGAAGTAACTACCCAACTGTAGTTCTGCCTTATTCAGAAACCAGAACAAAAATCCTTGGTGAGATTTTGAGTTTTTGCAGCGTTGCCTTCAGGCGCTCATAAAAATTCAATCTAGATGACAATTCACTTCTAAAGAGGCAATGCGTCTTGTCTTCTCAGAGGAGGCAGTTTAGTGCCCCGAAAATCTCCCGGCCACTTCAAAAGATACCTTAAATGCCTCCTGAAGCCAGAGGAAACCTCTCCGTCTTTGGCCTTTGCGAGCGCTCAGTCACACAGGAACAATAAATCTGGCTGATTTCTACATTCCTCTTTAGATCATGTGATACCCAAACAGCGGAGGAGAAACTCTCAAACCGCTGCAAACACACGCGGGCCGCGATTAGATCAGGCCCCAACTTTTTTGGGTGAAAATATGTCAAGAGAAAAAGATAAGTACACACAGCTGGATGCGTTTTAGAAAGAAAGAGAGAGCAGTTCTTCCTCCCATTTTCTTCTAGTCATAGGAAGAGCAGCGAAGCCCCGGATGGAAATGCAGTTGCGTCTGAGCGAGCCGAAGCAATTGTGGGGGAAATTGCTCCAAAAGACTTGAGCTTTTAAAAATGCAGCAAAACAACTCGAGAGAAGTTTCTGGCTGCGTAAAGAGGCGAGTTTTTCCCTCCGGGGCGGGGGAGTGTGGAGAAGAGGAGCGCGCCGCTGGTTGTGTGCCAGCTCTGCCTCCTGTGGTTTCACGCATAACAACCTTGCATGTGCACCGCTCTGAGGAAAGCATTGATTTAAAAGGGTACTTCTTCTCTCCACAGCTTTAGCAAAACAAGCTCCTATGTTTGGATAGACCCTGTAAGCAGCTCACTGACCTGAGCAATGGGTCAGATTAAGTCAGACCCCCACCGACTCCTCCGCCTCCTCCATCCCAGCCTCCCTCCTTTCTTCTCGGAGCGCCGTGAGGAAAGGGAAAGTGTTCTTCAGGGCAGGCGGGCCTGCCAGCCGGGTCAAGGGAGTTGCTCAGGAAAACAGGAAACTGACAAGAGAGACAAATGATAGGTCTCACCCAAACATCTAACCAGTTTGCCAAAGAGCGGCCGATCAGCCGTAATTGCTGTGAGGTGAGGGTAAAACTTAAAGTGTCTCTGAGTGTTTTAATTTCAAACTGGACCCGCTGGGTTTGAGCGGCGCCGCTACAGGCCAGGTAAAGGTGTGATGACCGAATCCGACCTGGATAATAACTGATGAAGAAGCTCTTACAGTTCCTCATAAACCAGCAAACCAGACGCTTCAATCCTCTATCAAAAGCACATTCCCTCCGGAAAAACCAGCCCAGTGGATAAAACATGGGAATTTCACATGTGAAGGATGTGAATCGTGTATTCTGCACATGAGAAACATGGAGCAATTAGATAATAAAGAGTGTGATGATGTTTTAAATTCTGAATTTTAGATTCTACATTTCATTTGGTCAAATGTGTTTCAAATGTGGCTTGCAAAAGAAGTAATAATTATGTAGTAACATGTGAAACACATAAAATTGCTTCACATGTTTAGATTATTGCATCTAAAGTTCATGTATTAATCTAAAAGGTGGAAAAGTTTCACAAGACCAAGTTTTTTGTTTATTGATATAGAAAACATGTGGAATATTTTTTATATTTTAAATATTTTTCCTGGAGTGTTTCACATGTGTGTCTGAGTAACTATTGCAATATGTGTTCACATGTGGCAATTTCACAGCGTAGTAATAATGGAAGCACATGTGAAATACTTTCTATATTTATCATGTGTTTTAGATGTGCAAATTTTATTGTGTAGAATTATAAGCACATGTGAAATACTTCTTATACATTGAAAATTATTGTGTATCACATGTGCAAATAGTATAATTGTAGCATTAATGCATTCCCTTGTGTTTCACATGTGCAAATTTTATTGTTTAATAACAGTGGAAACACATGAGATACTTTTTATATCCTGGAGCGTTTCTCCTGAATTTATTCCACATGTGGAGATACAAAGAGAACGTTTTCACATGTGTTTCACATGTGCAAATTTGACAGTGTAGAAATAAAGGAAGCATGGGATTCACATGGGATTTAGTGTGTGTAGCAGCATGTGAACAAGTGTTTCACATGTGCAAATTAGATCTAACATGTAAAACCAGTTTGTGAAATGTATTTTAGAAAATAAGGCACTCAAATGTTTTTCTATTTCTGTTTATTTTGCTCATAAGTTATTTTTTCTTCTATTATTTTAATCCAAATTCTACCCTGGATTTTAACCAAATAATTTATGGAAAAAGCTTAAAATCGATTAACACCCTGAACGCTAACAGACATTAATTATATGGAGGTTATATCTGCATCTAACTGATTAATATTGTAAATAATGTAAATGTCATTATGTTTATATTGAATATATTCCTACTGTTGGAGTTGACCTTTAGCGTCATTGTACATGAATGCAGAGACAAACAATCAATCCAATTAATTCAGTCAATCAATAAGGAAATTTTGCCATATTAAAGAAAACACAGAACAAATATGTTACTTATTTTTGCTGTAACTAGTTTTTATGTGTAATCATGCATCTTTCTGGTGTTTTTTCCATGAGAAAGCAAAGCAAACATTGTGACTAAACTGATATTATCTATTTACCCGACTGAGAGACTGTTTTAGTTAGTTATATATTTTCTCAGGACAAGTTGGAGGAAGGTGTGTGTGTGTGTGTGTGTGTGTGTGTGTGTGTGTGCGTGTGTGTGTGTGTGTGTGTGTGTGTTCAGATCGGACAGCTGCCACAGGCCAAGATAAGCGAATGGGAGTGGAGCCAGAGGGAGGGACACAGAGGACGGAGCGGGGCAATCAGTGCGGGATCTGAGGTGGTGTTTAGTGGCCCTGTAAGATCTGCTAAACTGGCCCTAATTTCCCCCCGTAGTGGGAGACATGTGAGTCGGGGTGGAAAGGGCCCAGGAGGAGGGGAAGGCCTTTGGTCTGTCAGTGTGGAGTTAATCTGAACCTGGGGCGGCACGTTCACGTTTGATGGAGGCCAGAGATGGGACTCCAAAGCGGTGGAGGAGCATGAAAGATCACCCACACCTGCGAGGGGCTGCCGAAAGTTACAGCTCACTCACAGAGGGCCTCTCTGCTGCTGCTCTATTTGTCAAGGATGATGGGGCAATAACGGCGAGGCTTCGGTCCAGGGTGGCTCTTCATGTGCTCTCAGCTCTGCAGGATAAAGACAACACAGATTTGTCTTTCACTTGCAAACCTTTTCCATCATGAGGCCAAATATTTGCCTGCAAAAGGAGCTGCAGAAAAATCTGATTGTGCTTTCAGAGTTTTCCCACCAGACAGAGCAGTAGACTCGGTTTGATCCCAAAATCTCAACATTTATTAGATTTTCAAACCCTTGGAAACCCTGTTCCCCTCCTTGCCTGTGGAGGCGCTGCACCAAGAACCACTGAATCCTGAAATGTTTTAGGAAACATTTATGTTTCCTTGTGTTTGTCTCACAGTTTTATTTTCTGTCACTTTCTGGAGCGGTTTGGTGTTTTTATTAAGCAATCTGTCCGTCGCTGACGGTTTGTTCATGTACATTCGCCTTCCAGTTGCTGGGCTGTTGACGACGCACTTTATGTATGAGACACATGAAATTCACACCTTTTTGGGCTTCTTGGTCTTCCATACATAAAGAAGCAGGAACGTCAGGGCAAAGTGCTAATTTAGCGACAGAGTGTGAGATATAAACGCTCAACACCAAAAATTACGATTTGTTTACAGAAATATTTGCTCTCACATCGGTTCAGCTGCACATTCAGATTGGTGACATTAAGACAGCAGCACAGAAAGGCAATATTTCAGCAAATCTGCATAAAGAATGTGTTAAAATACCCACAATAATGATGCTAAAGCTTTTGTTGGCATGAAATAATGAAACAGAAACCAAGTTCTTCAAAAACTTGACATATTTCTAAACATCAAAAGCACCTTTAGGAATAACTGAACTAAAACAACAACCAACTTCTGAAGAAATTATGTCTAAGTCTGGGTTCTGTCAGGAATCATACTAATTAATATAAAGAGGAATCCTCCAGTTTTTATAGAAAATGATTCCAGAATATTGGCAAAGTCAGCAAAAGTATAAAAATAATTTCAACCCAGTTTACTAAAAAACAAACAAAATTCTTTTTGAAATTTTAAAAGCTGTCCATCCCACAGAAAACTATTTATACGCCCCAAAACTCAAATGTTCATGTTCATGGTGAGTGAGAACCGCAAGAGTGAAAAACACATGTACATTTTCCTCCCACTGTTTAATTCATTGTTTAATCTCGTTGCTTTCAAGTTGACAAAATCCCCCCAATAATCCATCTTGAAGAGAAATATGAAAAATTTCCCCTTGAGGTTCTGCATCCTGCATCTTCCTGCGACGCTGTAAAAGATGAATCTGTGCCATCGAGAGCTTTTGATTAACTTATAAAGCCAGAATGATTGAGGATCCTTTCGCTCTTTGCACCACAAAACACTTGAGATCCAGAGCATCACAATTATCGCAGGCAATGATTCACCACCGAATGCAGAGTTTAATCAAGCGGATGCAGATGAATGATGCTGTCCGGGTTGGGAACATGTTGCTCTCGGGGCAAGTGGGAGATAAATTTAGGAAACTGAATGGCATCCTGACAGCGTTCTTTATTAGGAATCCAGGCTGCAAATCCATTTTGGGCCCAAAGTCGTTCTCAACGCATCAGTCCAGGATTCCACTAGCTGCGTTTCTATTGACAGTATAATTATGCAATTTCACATTTTGAAAATAAATTTGCTTACCGGAAACACAAATTAAAAGAACGATAACTTTTGTTTTTGCCGCTGGGATTTTTTTGGCTGAATTGAAATCGGTTAATTACACAAAACTGCAATAGAAACACATTTTTCGCATCACATTTTTGATACTGTGCATCTATTTATGCTCCTGCTGATTATCTGATGAGTTGCACAAAATTCTGACATCATTTCCTATCAAACTGTGAGCAGTTGATCTAAATTGGAAGGATTTCTGACACAGAAACCAGATTTAGCAATGAACTTTTAACAAGTTTGAGGTTTCGGTCCTTCTAGACGGTTAATGTCACATGATCAACAGCCGGATGTTACTACTGGCGAAAACTACGAAGAAGAAAACAGGAAGTACTTGTGGCATGTTTTTTAATTATTATTGCATAAACAAATTTATCCACACGTAAATTTAATTGTATTTCTTATTTAACAGAAACAGAGAAATCGCAAAAGTTAGTTTTTAATAAATTAGTGGATGATTGACGTTTCGTAAAGCAGCTATTATTCATGGAAAGCATCTATAAATTTTTGGAGCCACTGACTTACGGTGTGAAAAAACGTATTCACTTGATTTTTATTGTGATTCTTTGTTTAAAGTTGTGAAATTGTTTAGTTTTTTGTCATTAGCGGAGCACTGACAACGTTTTTCACACATTTGTAATGGAAACGCAGCCCAGTTCTGTCTCATCTGGCCTTATTTTGCTGGCGTTTCGGACGGCGCCCAGCAAATGTCTCGGCATGAAAGAAGTCGGAGTGGGGCAGGTGTGCGCCGGGCCGAACAAAATGCCCCCCGAATTTTCATGCCGAGGTCGTCGTAAACAAAAACAGATGTGAAAGTAAAGAATCATGTTGCCTCTCTTAGGAAAATAGAAACGGAGAGTAAATCTGTAAATTATTATCCAGACAAGAGAAATAAGTATCTCTCTTCACGTAAGTGAGTCAAAGTCCCAGTTGGGAATGAAATCGATTATGTTCTACATGCTTCTGCCTTAAATGAGTCATGTTAACATACTGGGATGTTTTACAAGCCCCGCTGTGCTTTGACATTGCTGCTAGACGCATTACCTTCTCCGATCTGTGACACCACAACTGCTGTGAAATGGGTCTTTTTTTTGTTGTTTTTTTTTTCCCCTCCTTTTGCTGAGTATGGTTTGGATTTTATGCTTTTTGGAAGTCATAAGCCATATGTGCAGCTGTGCTTTTAGAAGTGCCTCAGAGTGAAGAGCATCAGAAAGCCCAGTTCGTCTGAAGGGACTGAAGCGAAGTCGTCGGGTTTGATGGGACGGCTAACGGAGACCTGATACGAGTTGAATCTGAATAGATTAGGAGGGAAAATGTCGAGCAGAATTCCTCCCGGCGCTAACAGGTCGGGGTATGCCCACTTTATAATAGTGTAGTGTTGTGAAAAACAAATGAACCGGCAATCCATAGATCACATTTCACACCTTGGGCCAATTAAGTCTGCTTTAAATAACATCAAGAGCTGATGGATGTGTCCTCACCCTTCGCACCACAATAACCGTGGAAGCTTGAGCGCTCATTGACCTGCAGTTTAGCAGCATGGGGCCAACAGCAGTCAGCCCTGCAGTGAAAAATAATGGGCACATCTTTACACCTCCCAGCCCCTTACACCTGCAAACAAGTTCGTAAGTGGATGAAGTTGCGGTGTTAGCGAGAAACAAGCGTGTTCCAGTCCGAATCACCTGCGCGAGCCAGCCGCCTCATCTTCTCTCTGTCAGCGTCGTTTGAGCGGAGGCAGCGGCGCAGAGTGATTGTGAGCAGCTAACTGGCAGTGCCGGGTGTGAGAAAGTGTTGCCGGGATATTTCGCCACATGAAGGGAGGACCAATTGTGTGTACAGCACCGTCTCTGCAGGGATTAGTGGTGCCATTAAGTGGCGATGAGTTGCAGCGGGGGGGCCACATCCCCTGCTCCCTCATTAAATCGCTGGCAGCTGCCCTTTATCACAGCCGCTGCACTGTACCATCAGCACTCTCACAGCGGCGCCGTGGCAGCCTGCGACCTTTGGCCTTCATAAAATCTCTTTTGGAGGCTTTAGGAAAGTTTAATTACCGGCTCTGAATTTCCTCGCTGCATGTTTGACATAAATGATCATTATTTTTATCCTTTTTTTGTTCACAAAAGAAAAGTTTGGTGATAAAACACTTGGTTAGACGTAATAATTATTCAGTCTGGGATGTTACCCAAATTTAACGTGCAAATAAAAAAATTCTTTCTGTTTTCTGTCTTATGCGTGTTGATAACAGTTTTGCAAAAACTTTTGAGGCAGGAAAACATTTCAAAGCGAAGAGTTATGCTTAGGCAAATCTCATTTATCGCAGAAATTATTGCGATAAACGATAATATTATCAAGTATCGCAATAATGACAACAAGGCAAGAACAATTTAAAAATATTAATAAACTTTAAATTCTAATGTAACATTTAATTCTGGAACTGGAAGACATTTAAATATTCAAAATAAATCAATATTTTATCAAAACAGAATTGTTCTTCAAAAACAGGAAAAAGACTTTTATCATTCAGATTTTGGTAAAAAGAGAAAAACAATAAAAAATGCAAATGGAAATTATCGAGCTCATTTTATTAATTGATCCTGCAATTAATGGCTTTATTGCTTATTCTACATCCATAAAATGCTGCAGGAAGATGGAACTATAACTAATGACCAGCTCCACAATGTGGAATCCATCTTTTATTTATCAATTAAAAGTTAATTATGTTCACTTTTTAGGGCTAAAACCTCTAAAAAGCGTTTGGAGCTTTGTCTCTTTAAATCGGAAACGTTCTTCAGATCACGGCTGCCTATTATCGTTAGCGGAAAGCAGATGGTCTTCTCAGCAGAAAAGCTTTTCTAATAGGAATACCTGGAAGGGATGTGCAGCTGCTCAGTGGTAACAGAAAAACTAAAACAACTGGGATCATTTCTTCTAAAGAAAGGACACAACGCGGAGAATAACCCTGACTTCAACACAGATGTTGAAATTTAATCATCTAAAAGTTTATAAAACAGCCCAAAAGAATTTATCTGGAAAAATTACTTTAGAGCAAACAAAGTGCGCTAAACGTTTTCAAAATCAGCAAAAACACGAAACGCAAGACGAAAAATTTGCTTTGCTATTAGCACTTTAGCTGAAGTGTGTCCACCACTGTTTATATTCATATTTATTAATCCAAGAGCATTTTGAAGTTTATTTTGTCTTCAAAATAAACTTTTCGATTTCAGTTTCAGCTGCTTCTGAAAACAAACCAAGCTCTTAAAAAAAAACCCAGAATGTTTTTTGGGCAATAAGTTGTTTTTGTTTTATGGTGCCTGGAAAGCGAGTCGTTTCTAAAACCTTCTGCTTGTTAAGTCACAATCATAGTGTCGTCACCTAGCAACGGCAACAGAGTCGTCACCTAGCAACCCGAGCTGAGCTCCAGCATGATTGGTTGCGCTAAGCAATGGCTGCTGGATAAGACGAGCGTCTTGTTGTTGACTTACCACCCAGAAAACACCTGCTGCTTTTGTTGGTTGTGCAGAAGGCTCCACTTCTGCTTTTCAAAGATATTTGATTGTATAATTAGGCTAATCTGTTCGCAGCCATTTTCACGTTGAGTTTGGGGGCGTGGCCAGCAGCAGTTATTTGGATTTAAAGTAACAGGACGTCTTAATCAGCTCAATCTGAAACTGATCAGACTAAAATCTAATTCTCTAAGAATTATTTTGTCAAAAAAGAAAATGCAGCAAACATGTTTCCTATTGTTCATAGATCCATCGAAACCTTTTCAAGAAAGCATAATCAGTCACCCTTAAAATCTTTTCGTCAACTGAAGAACTATTGGTTTCCTTTCATCTTATCATTTCCCCCTAAAGCAGATGAGAACGAATCCCAAAGTGACTCCTCAGACCCTCGGACCACTTCAAACATCTGGCCGCTCCGCTGCTTTAAGTCCACAAACGATGCAACGTTTGCTGTGTCACAGCTGATTGAGCCACATGTAAGAACAGAGACTGATCGTCTCAGATTCTCACCAAACAAACCGAAACATGTTTGTTGTTCTATGAGGACTTGGTCTGCAGAAACACTGCTGAGGCTGTTGTGGCCTGAACCAGGCAGAGTCGGCCATGTGTGACCGCTGCTCATAAGGATCAGAAAATTCACTCTGTGCACCTGCACAACTGATTTCAACCTGCAACAAAATCCGCCGCTGCCACTGTGGGAAAGCTCAGCAGCATCTTCTCCTATCGACTGTTTTAGAAATATGCTTCAGAAACCTGATTAAGGCAGCCTTGGGATAAAGCTGCGGGCTGATATGACCGCAAAAATGCAAACTAACTCTCCCCTTAATGAAGCATTTCTTCATTCGTAGAGATATGAAGCTTTGTTATTTGGAGAGGTTCTCGGGATCAACACCTGGCTCTGCTGGGGTGGAAATATCTTCCAACAAATTGAGAAAATTCCACACCTAAACCCGGCCAGAAACCTCTGGGATTTACTGAGCTTACATGTAAAGTCAGCAAGAAACTTCTTCCAAAAGCACAAAACAGTCTGGGTGGGCTTCGCCCGTCCTGACGGTCACAGAGGAAGAGCTCACTTTTGTTGCATCACTGTTGTATTTGGAGATCGGATTCTTGCAGGGTTGGTTTGTCATTTAAGACAAATTTTAATCCCACCAACATCACTTATAGTTGGTTTGATCCAACTGACTGAATGAAAGTTGCATTTTCATTACAAATGTGCACAAAACTAAATATTACGCTAATTTTGCAATGGTGATGTTTAAATAATGAGTAATAAATGCAGTTGAAATCACATGTGAATGAGCTTGTTCATGCAGTTAGTCATTAAAAAATCATCTCCCAACTACTTCCTGTCACCTTCTTCTTTGTGGTTTTTGCCAGAAGTAACATCTGGTTGATCAAGCGACTCGCTTGAAGAGAATAAAGTTTCCCTGCAGTTTTGGGAAATCAAATTTGAAACAGCTGACAAAACCAAATCATCCAAGCACCAAAATATTTGATCCAAAAACAGGTTTTGTCAAAATTGGTGGATTTATTTTCAAAATGTCGAATCGCAGGATTACATGGTTGGTGGAAACGCAGCAACTGTCGTCTCTCCGCCTCATAACTAAAGGAAAGAATCTCTCTGACCACTAATCACATCAAATATGGCACACCAGCAAGTTTACCTCTCAGGAACTCAAACAAATCAAATGAAAGTCAAAGTTTTGACCCAAATCTGATCAGTGTGGCATGACCTCAAACTTCATGCTTGAAATCTCAATTCTGCAGAGAAGAGTGGGTTGAAATTCCCCAGGGATGCAACAGACTCAAAAAAACAAACAACCTGGTGGACAACACGCATTTCAGATGGTCAGTGAACAGAGAAATGGACTTTGGACCAATTTGTCTTTTCACATTTTCTTTTATTCAGCCGGGATCTGTTTATGTCTGGCTACCACAACGACCACGTTGAGGCGTTTCTGTGCTCATTTTTGCTTCAGACCGTCCACTGACCTTTTGGATGACCTTTTAATGTCATCCAAATGACTTCAAGATATAAACAACAACAAGGCTTCTCGGCCCACAGCATCATGGATCCTCCACTTTGTTCCAGTTAAAGCTCCCATGGCTCTGAAACGTCAAACTACTAAATTTATGTAACTGCACACATATTTGGTTTTTAATATGAGAAATTTAAAGCAGAAAAATGAATGAAATATTTCTACCTGTAAGTAGAAACTTGGGCCCAGACGGCCTAGCGCTGGTGAGAGCTAGCTACTAGCTAGTAGCTATTAGCTACTAGCTAGTAGCTATTAGCTACTAGCTTCTGTGACCCGAAACAAAAACCCTACCTTCCAACCAACACTACCTTCTTTCCGCTCCCTTTGTTTCCTCTGCAGTTCAACCGTCGTTTAAGTTTCTCCACACTGAGTTTCTGAGTCGAGGAAGATCGAGACGAAGCTCCTCATTTTCCACCTTTCATGCTTTTCAGATGTCGACATTCTGTTTGTGCTTTGTTTGTCTGAACATCCGGGCAACAGTGACGTCATCGGCGGTCAGAACCGATTAAACTGTAAAAGCACAAAGAAAAACTTTCTTTTAATAATTGCTGCACCACTCCCCCAGATCAGCTGACATGTAGGTAGTGTCTGATGTTTGTTATGGAGACCAAAAGATGCCACTTTCTGAATCATTTCTCCGACATTAAAGCAAACTCTCTGCATGGTGGCAAAATAAAACTGGGTTCTCATCCAGTTTTAGTCGCTGGTGGTTTAGAGAAAAATGCCGCTGTCACGCCGTATTTATCACCCAGGAAAACAAAAGTCGAAGATTAGTAATTAGAACATCTGAGAAACTCAACCAAGAAAGAATAAAGTGTAAATTATGTGAAATTAGTAGGTATGAGAGGCAGTTTGGGAGGTTTTGGGGGTATTGTGGTAGCTTTTGAATCAAATCTGCACAATAATAGCTTAAAACAATAAGTAGAGAGAGAACGTGTCGGTAATAAGCAGAGCTTGAGCGCGTTTTCTGCTGCGAACCTGAGTGAAGTTCCCTCGCTGCCTCGTTCTCTGGACACATTCACACATGTTTGATATCAGCACATAAAGTCGCTTCATCTGCACCTCTCGTTATGTTGTAATGAAGCTATAAGTGCTGCTGACGGACACACCTCACATCCCTTTACGTCTCATTACTATCTGTGAGTCATGTTTTCCAAGAGTAATAAAACCTTGAGGGAAATGTTTGAATTTACCAAATTCTCCAGGATGCCACTTATGTGGGAAAAACTGCAGATATCTCCCATGAATATGACATTTGTCTTTAAAATTTGTGCAACGTGGATGATGACTGATGACGATTCGCTAATTATTGCTCATACAACTGTTGAATGGTTTCAGTGTGGGATGCTCTTTCTTAAATTCCTCATTGTGTTAGCGATCTGTTGCAAATTAACCTCAAGTTGTGAAATTTTCCATGATGTTTTTAGTGTTTGCACGGACTTTAATTTACACATTGCAGCAGCTAATGACAAACACACACCTAACTCGAAGTTTTGGCATGATTTTGGAGCTATCTGCCGTCAATTGCTGAGTTTACGGGATTTGCCAATCAATGACTTTTCCATTTGATTTAAACTTTGGTCAGGACTCTCTCCTTTACCAACCAGTCTATGGCAAAAGCAAAAGCAAAAACATTTTCCCATGTCACAGAAAGAAAACGAGAGTTTTTTCCATTGTCTCCCCCTGAGGCAGCGGGCTGAGGTCGAGCGCTCAGACGAATAATCACACGCACGCAGATCTGGGGAAATTGGAGTTTTACTTAAATGTGAGCGTTTACAGGTGGTAAATATCCTGCTGGATTTTTACAAATGTAGAGGTTTAAGCTCTGCACCCTCCAGCTGCACGGCAGGAACATGTGCAACATATGACCCTTTATAGGTTTAAAACACCACAATGTGAGAACTGACATTGGGAGATTTGAGATCAACCAGGAATGGGATTCATTTCACATGTTAAACTGTGAGACGCGTGTAAAACAAATGGGAGATGTTTTTATGGTTATTATGTGAAACGCAGGTAAATTCCCATGTGAAAATCACATGAGAAATGTAATTTTTGTTGAGTGGTTATAAACGAAACTGCAACACACAATGATGCTCTGATACACATTTAGTTTTACAACTGGAAATTGTTTTCTGTCGTTACATGAGGCGGAAACTTTCCACATCTCAAATGTTTCTCCAAATGTGAAACACATGTGTGGTAACATGTGAAGTATGTTAGAAAACCCTGCACATGTGAAAGTCCCCTCAACTTGTGTAGCTATCTAAATAATAATGTGCAATAACGTGAAATACTCATGAAATGTTCTCTCGTGTTTCACATGTGGAAATTATAATCGGCAGTGACATGTGAACACGTTTCACATGTAGAAAAATATACAGTTTTGTGTGATGTAAAAAAAAACGAGGGAACACCTGGATTATTTTCCCATGTGTCAAATTATTGAAATTATATTCCAGTGACATGTGAAACAACATTGTACATGTGACATTTTTCCCATGTATGTTTCAGATGTGAAAAATAAACCTTAGTTTATATTTATATTGCATAGTAATGTGTAGGAAATAAATAATAAATGAATGCATATTTACTTGATGATTTTGACTAATTATACTTGTTTTCTAACTGAATTGTGTTTTTACAGTGTAAAGCTCTTTGAACTGCTTCACAAATAAACCTGATTTAAAACTGGAATAGTAACAAACCAGCTGCAGCATTTTTTCATCCTTTTATACAATTATATCTCAGAACAGAAAAACAGGCGGATGGAGAATAAACAGCAGAATTTCAGATATTAGCTCCATAAAAACGAGTCTAATTTCAAGGTTGTTAAGATGCTCTGTTTCCTACTTATTTTTTCAATTTACCTGCGTTTTAAATGCAGGTAAAATCTAATCGGCTTTGTAGCAAACCCGATAGCATCTGCACATCCTCCTATTTTTCTGGGGTGAGACTTTTCGTCATGCCTTTTGTAATTACATGGCGGGGGAACGGGGACAACATCGCAGGCTGCCGAATTACATCCGTGTTGGCAGAAGTAATCGCTCATTCGCAGCGTTGCAGGTTTTCCTTCGGCGGCCCGGAAGTTTGCGGCTCTTTCATTGAGATGGTGAAGGTGATAGATGCCACTCAGGCCCTCCAATTTGCCACTGAGTGCTTTCCCCATTACCTGGAGAGCCGCTGCAGCTAAAAGAGAATAAGAGTCATAATGGAGATCGCTATCATATCTGATCGGCGGGCTTTAAAGATCAAACAGCCAGCTAAACATTTGGCTCTCCTCACACACTTCCTTTTGATGGCTGCACTGCTTGGCTTCAAAGGTGTTGTCTTGTTCCGGCACGAAGATGTAAACATTATTACTGCTAATCCATTATGGTCTTACTCTGCCAACAGAACGCTCAGATCACCCACCAGTTGGGGCACAAAACTGGGCTAAAATGTCAAGGAATCACAAGGTGGGGCAGGTAATCAGGCACGTTTCTTTAATGTGCTATTTTAATTTGTGTAAATATCATAAAAATTGTGAAATATCTGCAAATTCGCCTGATTGTGAAGCAAACGATGTATGAAAGGTACAGAATATTAACCCATGGCCAATCACTTCCCCGGGAAAATTATAGCGGATTATTGGTGAAAGGCAGAAAAACATGGCGCTTATTAAATCATTCTCCACCACCTCCTGCTTGCTGCATTTCATGGGTGGTCAACAGTAATCAGTTTACCGTCTGGCGCTTTCAGGGTGTTAAGACATCCACTTTTCATTCGCACAAACAGTATGATTCTCTCAAGCACCAATTTGAATTAATCCCTCTTTCACCATAAAGTTCCTTGCATCCACATTAAATCTCAGACCTATAATGTTTCTATTTTAATTTAGATTTTTGCTTTAAAATAAGGATTTCCTTATAATTATTCCAGCCCTCCCTCCCCCCTTGGCCTTGCAGAAACAAATCTGCACACTTCCACGCGCGCGTTGTATAATTTATAAAGCCTAAGCTCTTTCAATACTCCAAAATGCCAGATAAACTTTTCTCATTTGCTCCTAATTTGGTCACGCAAGATAATGCCAACATCTGAAGGCTTTTTAAACTGCTTTTTAAAATGCATTCCTGAAAGGAGCTGGCACTGGCACCTCTGCACCTTGTCAGCTCCAATAATTATTTCCAATCCGGGGCTAGCCCTTAATGTGCTGATTAATCCGGCCCTCTCCTTGCTGCGAGATGCATTCAGCTCCATTAATTTTTCAAAAAGGCCCCACTCTCCTTCGCTGGGAGCCCTGCAGATGTCAGGGCTGTGGCAGAGAAAGCCATTAGGAGTTAACACCTCCCTCTCCCCAGAGACTGGCATCCACTTTCCCCTCCCTAATTTTAATGCCAAGCAGGCGAATTAGAGACGTCGGCTGCCAACCCTGGCAGTCCGCGAACATCGCCATCTAATCACCCGCTTCTTTGCCAGGAAAACAGAAAAAGTAAACAACCTCAATCAGAGCGGTTTCAGGAAAGCAACGTGAGGTGAAGCACGGCGACATCGAGTCTTTCAGCCACTGGATTCCCGTTTCAGGCTCACGATTCGATTCACTCACGAGATTCTGTTCAAATTATGACAACAAGTAAAACATTTACATAAAACTATTTTTTAAGGTTTTAAACTACGACGGCTGGTAAGGCTTTTTAGATTTGAAAGATAAAGGAGGAGTAAATTTGGAAATTTGTGAAAAGCTGAAAACTGAAAAATGTTAGAGAAAAAAACGTAGAAATGTCTAAAAAAACAAGAAAATTTTTAGATTAAGCTCAAAAATGTTCTAGAAAAATCTTGGAAATTTCAGAAAAATTTCTAAAAGTTGAAATGTAAGTTTTTCTAATACATTTCTGAGATTAATTATAAAATTTGAAAATGTCCTTGAGACAAAATTTTTGAATTCTCCTTTATCTTTTCTTCACACCGCTGTATCATCCTGCACCAAACTGCTTTAGTTTATCAACACAAATGGGTTTGTGCATAAAGTTAGTTTAGCAAACAATTTTAAAAATGGGTTCAGTGTCTGAGTGGAAATGTGATATTGACGACGTTCAGCTTTAAAGCGACTCAGAATTCCCAGGACCAGGAACTGTGATCCTTTATGGAAGAGATTTTTTTTCTCCACCTGTAGTTTGCAGGATTCACAGGAGAATCCTGAGTTTCTCATCCAGGTTTCAAACCAGCCGCTGTGAAAACGTCCTTTGGAGAAACTCTGAGTGTTTGAATAAAAGCGGTTTGAAATCGGCGCTCCAGCCTCGTCTCGCCCCCCTGCATGCAGACGGGTTACAAGCTGTCTCATTTGAGAAAATCCCCCTCGTCCCCCAGCCAGCTTTTATCTGCAGATAGGAAGGTGAATGCTGGAAATTAGGATTCCTGGAGAGACTTGGTATGGAGAGAATAGAAACAAAGACGTCCCCATGTCGGGAAGCGACGTCTCTCT